GAGTTTTTTTTTAAAAATGTTTTACACTAATCCTCTTTGATTTCTCGCTCTCGTGGCCACCGTTGGAGAAGACACTCGTCTGCAAAAGAGAAGACATTTATGCATCATTTGAAACTAAGTACTATTCCACGCCTCCATGCCAGTGTTTTGTTTACCCTCCTAATGAATTACAAAGTAACACGAGTGCTGCAACAGACCTCAGTGGAATATGTCAAACTAAGCGTCCCGTGTTCAAACCATAATCTTTCACGTCAGTTTTCCATCCGTTTCGTATTTTCGTTCTTAGCTTTTATGTTTTTCTCGTTCCTTCATCACCATTTTCCTCTATGTAACCTGATATTTTCACAGTTAATATAAGTTAACCGAGTTTAACAATACTGTGTTTTATTTTCGTTGAGCTTTATATTGTCATGAACATTTTCTATATAACTCTTTGACTTTTCACATGGCCCGAAATTCTTAGTTCATCGATCATCGTTCCTCATTGAATGAATTTCACTTTTTTTTTCTCTAATTTCGTGTGCTCCATTTCTCACGAAGATTTAGGAACGTCTCATATCCACATTCCACGTGCATAATCAGATCCGTCACTATATTATCGACGACGAAATCAGTTCTCTCTTTTAGCGAATTTGAGACGACTTTCGACCGTTTCCGATTTCTGTGACCTAACGTATTTGCAGTAATTCATCTCTGGTTACTAATATTATAATTGGATTACCGAAGCAGCAGAGTCTAATCCATGTGAGATTAGACTTGTTCGGAAATCCTATGTATTGCTGTTGTGGAATGAACAGGCTATATTGTAAAGTGAGAGAACGATTCAGTGGAGACAACTCTGGATTGGTGACTATTCATGACCAGCCCACAGGTTCCTCATCATCAAAGAATAAAAAACCAGAGGTAGCTTCTGTCGTACACCATATAACCGTCTCCTATTTTCTAGTCTTTGTCGATTTGTAATTGTATGTAGTGTAATTATGGTGTCTTATTGAAAATAGGTTCGATGTTTCAAAATTTCACATTGTGCAGTGTGGGTTGTGTATGACACATAGTGCTTGAGAATAGTTGTCTTTAGCCCTCATAAAGAATGGATACTAAAAATTATCAATTATTAAAAAGTTTTGCAAATTTTTTTCACCAGTTACAAATTTCTTCATTCCATCACCGCGAAACTGCACAATTATGTTTTTACTTCTTATCGTCAAAGCTTCTTCAATATTGAACAGGGAATCGGTCAAGAAATTCGGATAGCTATTCTTGACTACGGCGCCCTTGATATTGGCAGAAGCTTCAATAAGGTCACATCTATAGATTGCTAAACTATCAAGTTCACCGCCGCTTTGGTTGCTAAAATTTATCGAGAGTTATTGTTAACTAAAGAAGTAATACGTTAGCAAGAAGTGACCAGGTTAGCATATAAGTTACACACTGAGATTTTCATAAAATATCCTAACTTCTTCAAAATTATAAGGACGTTGAGTATTCCTTTTGTTTCTCAGGCAGATTTTTAGTGAACGTTAAATTCATTAAGACTTAAAATCTCTTTCGAATAACGTCTGGGTCCTTGAATAGAAATTTCATAAGCTGTATGTTATTCCGGATGTCGATTTCTAATGTTCAGGTGGTTGTCGCGCCTCAACAACAAACACAGAAGTCGAGACATCGATATCAAAAAGAGTTGGATCTAGACAGGAATCAGTGAGTGGAAGCTTTTTTCCAGAAGATTCTTGCTTTTTGCAATTTAATTTTTCCTTTTGGTTTCTATTCTATTGTGTAGAAGTAATGGGACGTACGTTTCTTCCTTTTGTAACTGCTAGGGAGATTCTAGACAAACTGGACCCTAGATTAGTTTCCAGGGAAGTAGCCAAGAAGATCCTTTGCAAAGTGCTAGTCGGTTTTCCAGAGCTGCCCTGAGTAGTAGCAGTGAGAAGTGCTCAAATATATAAAAGCAGTTTCTATTTTAGTAGTTAAATAAAAACTTCATAAAAGTAATATGCTATCCCAGATATTTACATAAGGAGGAAAATTCCACAACGACGGAATGACGTGTGGTACAGTCGTATTCAAATAAAACAAGCTTTTCTGAAAGGTCGTTGTAAAAGGAAGTGTAATCTTCAAGCTTTAACTGTAAGCCGACGATGCAAATTTGAAGTCTTCATGCATTGGATCTAATAACTGGTTGATCCTTCATCATGTTTGTGCTAGCAAAGTAGCCAGCATCCTTTTTGTGTCATGGAAGAAGATTGCCTTGCGTTTAACACACAGCGAGGATGATGCAGATAAGTTGGTTTGCTGCCAGCACATTTCTTCGGCGAGAACAACTTCTATTTCAATTTCTCGTTTATACCAGTTCTTCTGAAAGAAAAATTAGCTCTGTTAAGCGTTCAAAAAGTTCGTCGACGTTGATGAATTCTTTCAAAATTACATGAAGAATACTGTGGATTGTATGGTACTGTAACCAATTTTTGAATAGTTCCAATTATTTTGTTCTATTTGTTTTGCACTTCCGATATACGACTGGGAAGGAAACGAGAAGGATCCTTTGTGAGTTGTTTTTGCATACATGAAATTACGGCTTTCACCAACCGTGCTCATACCAGAGTTTATTTGACTGGTATTGTAGTGGCTGTAGAATTTTTTCGTTGAAGACTCACACAGTCTTGTGAGGACGTTCCGAACACTCTGTCCTAGAGGGCAAACGTACGAGTTGTTCGCGGGTCTCCGCTATGGCATGTTTTCTCATAGTTAGTAGGTGAAATTCTCATCTTCCGTAAGTGACTCTTTCGGATTTGGGAAACCCTCCCATTACGCATGGGCGTTTTTTAGAAACTAGCACTATCCTCTCGCGATGGTGCGGAGGTAAACCATTGAAAGTTTATTGTAGTAACTTGGAATGTCATCTGTACCGTGATGTAGCGTTTCAATTCGTGAATTTTGTGGTTATGACGAATTATGCAGACATTTTTAACCATTCGTCTATTATTCTGTTGACGATTTCTGTTGAAAATTTCTTTATAAGATTACTACAAGTTTTGCACCCTAAGTGCATACAGATTTTGGAGATTTCGGAAGCAGACTAGCGCAGCGGAATGTGGTGATGCCGATCAGGAAGCAAAGGAACTAGTTCGACCTCCTATAGGACACTGTCCTCCAGTGCAGGTGGATAGGGTTTAACAAGACTATCTCCTAAGTTGCAAGGAGAATGGGCTTGACCATCATTCCGACATTCACAGTGAAGATGAAATCTTCAAGCATCAGTGGAAACAACATGCGAAGTGTGTTCGAGGACCGGGACCATCGTGGGAGATGACTGCGAGGGAAACAAGTCGATTGTAAGAAGTGATAGGATGTGCATAGTAAATGTGATGACGGGTTATGTAAAAAAGTAGATAAGTAGATATTTAAGTATATTTTGAAGGTAGATATGTAGATATTATGTTGATTCAAAAATGGATTTTGTACTTATGATCTTTACACATGTGCCTCGTTGCTTAACGTTAAACACCCGTTGCTTGTTGCTTCACATCGTTCTAAGGCTCATTTGCTTAACGTGCTGAGTAATACTTTTTTTAACACTTAGTTTCCAATGAATTCAGTTTGGGTGAAATGGTTAAAGCAAGAATTTTTTATTACTTTATTTCATGAACTCAAGTCTCAACATATCACCACTGAAGGGACTTCAAATCCCTTTAATTTATTACTAAAGAAAGCGCTTACCAATAAACATTGTGTTGATGCTTTGAAAAGTTTCGTACTGGGTACATGAATGTTAATGATGAAGAAGGCGTAAGTATCAGCAGTTGAGAAGGGTTTTATTGATGGTGATATTCAAAGTTAACTTTCTTACAACTGCTGGGAAGTTTGCAGAACTCATGGGTAAGCAATCGACTTGAATTCGCCATTCGGTAAATATTTAAGAAGTGAGAAAGCTCGATAAAAGCTTTTTTTACCACAGTGTTTGAGCAAAGTTGATAGATTGTTGTCATAAAATCTGCTCTGCCTTTCTCTATGTCACAGAAAGAGCTGTTTTTTTTTGACTCACACTTTTTCACTTTGACTGACACTTCGACGTACGGTGGAAAAATGAATCATATCACAACATTTGAATCCTGATGAAATGATCAAAACAAGGATGCATTGGTATGAAACCTGTGGAATCCATCAAAACTGCGTCACATATATGTATATACATGTATATAGGTGTACATGTGTATATATATATATGCAGAAGTACTTAGCATAAATGGTTCAATACAACCTAGTCACCTCAGCAAACACTTCAATTTTCGGATCTGAGAAGCAAGCATTCGTCTAATGTAAGGAGAACTATCCAAGATAAAGAAGTCGCCTTTATTTACGGAACATTATTTGTTCGAATATTTACAAAGCAATGAATCACACACTACAATGTGTCTTAAAATTGTAGATAGAGAAAGTGGAAAAAATACACTGTTCTTATTCATCCAGTTCTTTGCCACTGGATTGCACTTAGCCAAAAAATGTGAGCCACCTAACTGTAAAACGTAGGAAGATTGTGCTGCCAAAACATGTAGAACATCCAAAGCTAATAAGCCTATCTTACTGGTAACGCTGAGTGAAAAACCATTTAAAGCGTATGATAACGCTTACGACGTGTTGCTTAACAAACGCAGCACAAGTTGAGTGAATTCGTCTGTCTGCGAAACTTTGTCTTATCCAGCGTACTCAGTGTACATGCACTCAACCGTGTACCACAACATTTGCAAACATTTTAATGACTATTTCCATGGTAAAATTTTGAACAGCCTACCCTTTGTTAAAAATCCCTTTGAGGGGTTTGTCTCTTCCAGAATTTCTATGCTGCCTGGCTAAAAAAATTTTATCTTTTTAACAAAGAATGTGGTAATTCTAATGGTTCTAATTTCCCTTAAAACATGCGTGTTTGACCTCAGATCTATTGACTGCAATAAAAATGATGGGAAATGCAGAGGTTTATCATGTTTTTTTAAAAGATAGCAATGATAAGTATTATTCCTATGAAACATGCCAAAATCAATTGGACTGGTGGGTGGGTTTAAAAAGCGTGGATAATAGGTGGAATTGCGCTCTTATCCGGTTCAAGTACTCTGAGAGTCATCTCTACCACTTTCTCTGATTTCATGTTTCGTCGTTAGCGTATACCATGAAAATTTTTAAATTGTTTTCAAGGTTATATTCTTTCAGGCAGTTCGCATCTGTATTAGAACGTAGAGCAAGCAATCCCGGTTTGGTATTGCCGGCTTATCAGGCATATCTCAGAACGAGTCATGAAGAACGCTTGGGTAGGTATTACCTTTTTTCGGTGCACGTGTTCGCTTTACTATGTTTGGCTTCCTTTTCTGAGTTTTTGTTCACGCTGAATTCTGGGGAAGTTATAAAGCAATTTTATGATCAATAGATTTATATATGACTTCCTCTACATACGTGTTTTTTGTGCTGTCTGTTTCATTCACCATCACCATATGTAATTCTCAGCGATTACGCTCTGTTTGCAGTTTAAGATTTTTGTTGGAGAATTTTGTTTTTTTCTGTTTTTTTTTTGTTTAAATACGAGCCATTATTGGCACATCTTATAGTTGACGGTCCACCACCGTCGCCAAAGGATTTACGAGTATCATCGTTGGAGCAGCGTGTTAGAGAACTGGAGGCAATGGTGGTTGGTCAGGCTGCCGCCGCCAAAAGCGCTGCTGTTGTCATTCCTGTAGCTCCTTCGCAGCAAACGAAGCGTACGTTCTTAACCATTCTGAAGCTCTTATGTTGGTGATTATTACAGACTAGTGAGGCTAAAGAAGTAGAATATATTTAAGCTAGTGACGCCATGAAGATTTTTGCTAATTGAGCTATAAACTGGGTTTAGCTCTTTCCGACTGCTTCTCATTCGTCATGATATTAGAACATGGCGCTGGTTAGTTCATCCAATCCAAACTATACTTAGTGATACCACCAGATTTTTGATAAAAATTGTTCGTGCTTGGTGCGAAATGCTGTTTTTCCTCAACGAAATGTTGCTTTTCCTCAACGACTCCATAGTGACTTCATCTCCGTTATGATTCATCTCCTCTCAAATCCGCTCTGGAAATTTTTGAACGTTCACTTTAAACGGGTTTTCCACTTAGTGTTATCAACAAAACAGGTAAAACTTTGAATGTTCTATGTTTTGAAAGTACAATTTTTGTGCTTTTTGCCTTAGGTGGTTCAATTTTTTTGGTTAAGAGGGTAATCCGTTAGTGAAGAGTGAGTTGGATAAATAGAGGCTGCTTGTGTTTTTTGGATTCTGTTTCGTAAATATTGGATTAAGTGATATTTCCTAAGTGCAAGCGACTGTTTTATTTTGAAATGTTCTGTTTATGTTCAGCTTAGAGGTATGCTTTCTTCTCAAATCTGAAAGTGTGTTTGTTCTGTTGATCAGGTGGTGTCGAAAACTGAGAATTAGCATAAAATGTGATCGTCGACAAGCATGCAGTGTGTTACATATCGTTTAGAAAACACGGTTGTGCAGTGTATCTCATAGTTTATTCTAAACTAATCTCCTAGATTGCAAGAATTCAATGGTAATCAGTAACATTGTTAACTCTTGGCCACGTGAATAGTTTTTCGGAAATCCTCAATATTTTTTGATAAGTGGAATTCTTTAATAATTGAGGACTTGGGAGTAAATGTGTCTTTTAAATATATTATTTCGTTCTTAAAATTACATGGGATTAAATAATGGAAGGCGAAGCAGAACATTCTATTGTTTCTAACAGAAGCCTTGCAGCAGCAAATAGCGATATATTCGGAGAGGTCATCACTTTGTGCTAAAGGAAATTCCACTTCTCCATTTGCTTTCATGTTTGGAAAGCAACCACGATAACTTGCTTTATGAGCTGCATAAAATCATAATTTCATCTTGTAAGAAGATGAACACCTGCATTTTATTCTCAAAGATCTTTAAATTCTAATGGCTTTTATTTAATTCAATAAGCATCACTGTGAGCAAATACATGACGGTTCAAAGTTGAAGGCCACTATTGTTTTGATCCTTTTGTGTGGAAATCAATTGAAATCGGCTTCCAAGTGTTAAATATCCTTACTTTTCACATGAATATATTTTCGTTTCACCATTCTTTTCATAGTTGTAGTTATTTTAGATGGTAATGGGCGTACGTCACATGTTCCACCACCCACTCAACTCATCATCTCCAATTCATCACCGTCGTCATCTGTAACACATCAACTTATGGCTAAGGAGGTCGTTAGCAAGGAAGTTGAAATTGAACGGCTTCAGGTTTATTTTTGAAAAAAATCGTATTATCGGATTTGAACACTGTTCACTCCATTGAAATCTCACTTAACCCATTCAGGCGAAGCTTAGAAAGGCGTATGCTCAAATAGAGCGTCAGCAAGCTGATTATAATGAGGAGGTACGGAAATTCAAAAAGGATTCTGAACAAGCAAAAGATGAACTACTCCGTGTTGTGAACAAGTGAGTAGAATTTTTGGTAATTTGATAGTGGTTAACCTACTCTCCTAGACTTAACGACCTCGAAGCGGAGTCGGTAATGTGTCAGGAAAAGGCGAAAACGCTTGACAATTGTCAGCTTAGTGCTATCTCGGAAACACAGGAAAAGCTGAAATCTCAGGTGATTTTTGAAGGTTACTCATAGTGGTGGACTATTTTTTTTTTTCTATGGCGGCTTTTTTTCGTGCTACGATTGAATACTGGTCAGTGAATATTATTTATTGCGCTAGGAAAAGGAACTGGCACGGCTTCGTATCGATCTAGCTGAGAAAGAAGAATTACTGAAGCGCTACGAGGATCTGAAGAAGGATTTCGATTATTTAGAGTTACAGAACGAAACACTTAGTCATACACTTAATTCTAAGGAGAATACTGTGAAAGAGCTTGAGCGACATATTGCGGTTTGTAGATTTTTGGATTTTTTAGTGTCACACATTTGTTTAGTTCTTTTCTTGTCATATTTCCACTGTTCTTTAGTCCATGCGCATGGAGGCGACGCTTTATCAACAGTCATGCTCTTCTGGATCAACACCACTGGCTGATGAAACAGAATCTCTAGCCGATATAAAACCTCCTTTCACTCCGGCCCGTCCATACACCAAGGTTATCTCTAGTTATAACTTCTCCCATTTGAACGAATAATGAACATGAAGAACCGTATTAATTTCTTCTCATGATGTTTATCGTTTTTTTTTTCGAAACGAGGATTTTCTAATCCAATTTTAAGTGTTAGAAAGTGGATTTAAGATACAGTCCACCATTATTTTTTCATTCATCGCTAACTTGCTTGTTATATTATTTAAGAATGTTTTGCTAAGGTGGCATATGCTTGTTTTAGGCCCACTCAACTGTTGGAGCTACTATGAGTCCACAGCCTCGACAAATGAACGGTGGAAATCTTATAAAGAGTCTATCAAACTATGCAATTGATGGAGGTTCTAATAGAAGGGATGATGTATCAGAAGCAATGAGCAGAAGTTTAAGGTTTTTTTTTAATCTTAATAGACTTTTTTCTTGCTAGAAAATTTACTATATTGCTGTTTAAGGTCCGTCCAGAAAAAGTTAGTAGATAGTCGACTGCTTGTCAAGTGCCTCAAGGAGACGGTGGAACGACTTGCGCGTGGAGAAAATCCTGACATTAGTCGTTTGCTAGGAATTAAAAGTTAGTGCATTTTTATGAAGATCTGGGAGTGTTTAGTACCATTTTTGAAAATATTCGGGATAGTAATGTTAACACTGGGAGGTGAACGCGATTACTGATAACTCAAAAAAACGGGCATCGCAATGCATTGCATTTTGAACTTCCTTGCTTAAGCAGTATCATGGAGATATTCTTCACAGGATAATAGGCTGAAGTTGTTCTATGTAAAGTTAAAATGAGTGGTCGTGAAGGGTCAAAGTTATTGGAATCGGTTTTCGTCTGTTTCAGCTGATTCTATGTCCGAAAGCGAAGCGGAGCAAATAGCGTTCGATTCTACAGCAATGACAATAGGGGTTGCGGAGAAAGTGGTAACTGAATGGTTTATCTTAACTCTTTTATTTACTGCCTTTTTCTTCTTAATGGCAGGGTATGTTGTGGAATATAACTCGTATGAAGTGCTGAGATATTTGCAAAACTCCGGACCACAGGTGTATGCAGTGGGGAACGAACACGCACTGCTCCCCGGTAAGGACAACAGCGCGTGTTCGTTCCCACTGCATACACCTGTGGTCCGGAGTTTTGCAAATATCTCAGCACTTCATATGAATGGTTTATATTTTTATTCAAGCATGTCGAACATTTCTACCCTTGGAGAAGTGTTTAAATATTGCGTGCAGCAATGAACACACTTTTGGAGTGTCTTTGATAAACAAACTCTGAGAAATGTCAACTCTGCTAGAAAAACATGCTAATGCTTGACGCGTTCTATTTGCCTTGGCTTATTAACGAAATTTGTTTCCTTAAATCATTTTGTTTTAAACAGGGTGATAAAGCGTTGGTTAGTTCGGGGCGCAGGGTTGTCGAGTTCGTGGAGATTTCTGTATTCTGTCATCTGCCGTATGCATTTACTTCTTCGAGATGCTTTCCTTTTGATGATACTTCTGCAAGTTTCAATCATTTCAAATACTGCTGTTATCTTTTTAATATAAATAAAAGGATAAAATTCTCTGTGTTGGTCAATCCCTGAGGGATGCGCCATGGATACGACTTCATTAAGCATCGTTTGGAGGTGGTTGAACGCATATCTGGTCTTTACAATGAACTGCGGTGGCATACCGATGCATCAAGCCAGTGCTGCTATTCTCCCAGACAATTCTGGTACCGATTTGCCGACTCCGGAGGGATAGAAGGCTTGATGGGCCAGTGTTGGTTAGTGAAGGGAGCGGGCTCGAACCAACGACCCTGTGTATTCCAGGCCACATATTACCATTACACAACATTCTGCCTTGCTAAGATATTTCTATAACAGATCACTAGCCTCAACTGTTAGAGCAGTGTTTCTTACTTTAACTTTGATTTACTATCTATTTTTTATTCATAGCATGGTATGATATTAAATACAACTGCAACGAAGTTAGGATATAAAGATATGAGCAAACTCACTACTCCATTTAGAATTCGAACCTGCAGTGACCTTTGCCACATGCTCACGTGCTACTCACTACTCCAACCAAGGCCCTTACTTTGCCGTTTTCTCAACCATGTTTTAAAATTTTGAACTCTACTGGTGCTATCAGCAGTCACCCCTTATTGGGAATGATTTGGTGAACCGTGGAACCCTGGATGAGTTGAAGCTGCATTCGAAATCAATGTTTTGACTTTTATATAGTGCCCATTCTTTCTTCACTGTCAGCGCTATTATTATTCAGCAGATAATACAAACTTAATTACCTTTGCATTCTGTCTGGCCCTGATGTGTTTTCCACATATTCTTTTTTTTTTTGTTGATGGCTACAGAAGAAAACAGATGCTTGCAGGCACATAACTGATCAAGGTCGTTTATTCTTACAGAAATCATTACACCAGCTTTCTCGCACGTCAGCCGAAATCCCTCTATGTTTTTAAGTAATACTAGTCCATGCGCAGTATAAGATTCTCCTATTTTTTATTCCTTTGTGCTTTCTCCTCTAAAGATGTATAAAGTTCCAAAATAAATGACAGTATGTTAGCACTTAAAATGAGATAATTATACCAGCTAGGGAGCGTTTACCTACTTGGGTACTTAGCCCGTCGTCACTGGTTGTGTCCCAGCTTAATTCCCACTTTTTGGGAGTTTTAGTGGTTTAGCAGCTGTGGTTCCCTGGAGTTCCATGGTCAACGTGTTCGTTCCCCACCGCAGACACTCGGGGTCTGGAGTTGTGCAGATATCTGAGTATAATTGAAGTTACATTTGAATCACTTTGGGCGCTTTGTCAGAAGCGTTTGCACAATTAAATGTGCACGTACTTGAGAAATTAGTGATCAATCTTTCAGTTTTGTTCAAAAGTTGTTTTACTTTTTTTTTCAATGTAACCGTTAATGATAACTCGGTTCGGCCATATCATGTGACAAGGAAAAAAAGACGGCCAGAAATAAAATGTCAGCAGATTCAAACGGTAGACGAATTTATCAGTCTGTATTGTTGAAGGGCATTCTCGAAGTAGCTTTGCTAATTAGTAGTCCGTCTACTTGTACCAATAGTACTCGTTTTTCATATGTTTTTTATTGCAGAATAGTAATCAAAGCACACCTGCCAACGGTTTAACGGTTAATCGTGGCAGGGAGGTGTTCCTGGGTGTCGGACTGCGATGTACAATGGGGGATTCATGCTCCTGGCAGGGTCTCCCCAGCTGAGAAGAAGTCCGGCGTTTCCATCAGGAGGCCTAGCTAAGAGTAAACCAATACCATGATCCACCACCGTCCTGGTATCAAAGTCGCGTAATCTCCCTCTGATCCACAGGGGCCACGACTGTCTGTGGTAGTGAAGACCTGGGGCGGACTTTGCCCAGATTGACTTCGGGATTCCAGGGAACCATAATGCCTTACCCACCAAATCTATGGAAAATAGAGATTGTGCTGGGCCCCGCATAACCAGTTAGGACGGGTCGTTCAAGTATCAGGTAATCTGTTCAACATCTTTCGTCCACTTTCCATTATTAAATACAGAACGTGTACGTTTAAAAATTTAATGAGAGCAGTAACTGCCTTTTTTTGTTGTGGAATCATCATTCAGGATAAAAAAAGCGAACGTTATGGTTCGACTTGATGTGAAGTGTTCTACAAGGTTTAAATGTGCGCGTAGGGGTAAAACTACTTCAATGAAGAATTACTTTCATTTTTCCTAATATCCTCCATAGCAATCGAAGGTATTTTTTTCTTTGTAATAGTTCTTTGCTCGACACCTTTATAACTTCCTTAATTGGATAGAACAGGATTGAGATTGTATGAATAGAGAGATCAGCTGCTAGCTTTTTGTAAACCCATTTATCTATAAAGGGGCGCTTGCAGTGAAGTGGTTAGAGGCGCCCTGCAACATATACGTAGTTTTTGGTTCGATCGTGCGCCCAGAGCTCGCCGAGCCCTCCTTTCCACGGAGATCGCCAAATTGGTACCAAACTTCTCTGAGAGTATAGTAGCATTGGCTTAGTATATCAGTAGACTACAGCGAATCGTTGGAGAGGCCAGATATGCACTCAATCACCTTTAACGATGCCTGGTTAGCTCGAATGAATGAGGGAATGCACGCAGCTTCCCTGGATGATTAATGCGGATCGCTTTAAAGCTTTAACACTTTAAACTCATTTAGCCACTTGATTTTATGACGATTTTACTGTTTAGTTGTTGTTGTTATCTTCGTTGTTTCCACGAAGAGACTTTTGCGTTCTGAGATATTCGATGCATACCACGACTACTTCGCTACATGTCCTAATATTATGTATTACGGACCTAGAGATTAGTAGTACTGGATAATCTTGTGTATTTGAAGAAGAACATAACTATTAAACCACTGTTTGATCTGTTTTCCGAATTCTTTCCAAACTCGCATAATGCACAACAGTCCATTTAATTCCGCCGTGTTAATAGTTTGCCGCAAGGATGAAGCCTAAACCAGCTGAAGTAGGGATGCGCGATCTTTTTGAAATAATACAACCTGGTTTAAACTCGGTACTTCCATTAGTCATTATAATATCTCTACAACACTTCTTTTAACAACACTTGTCGAGTATTTTGATTACTAATTGCTGTTTGTATTGTGTTTGAGTAGAAAGATTCCCATCAGAGTAGTGATGAGTTGAAAGGAAGGCGTTTCGAGTGCTATTTTCCATGAAACAGTAAGTTGTTATGGCGAGCTCTATTCTTTTGGATCTTTGGCATGAGGCTTCTTCACGTTGCGTTGGCCTTTATCTGAATTTTCTAATGTAATTGTTCGAAATACGTCTATGATCCCAAGCTTTTTTCTATTTATCCATGTTTAGAATTCTTAACTCTTCAAAAGTACGTAATATTGTCTGCAACAGCAAACTCACTTTTGCCGTGTGTTTCCTAAGTATACTTTGAATTACTTCGTATTACATTTATAGTAGTATTTGTTCAGCTGCGTCGTCAAGAAGAGGGTATGATAAAGTTGGAAGAAGACTTGGATGCAATTCGATATCTGGTGCAGGATTATTACCAGGCGAAGGTAGGAGATACATTGAACGGACATGATGACGCTTGTCGAATTCAGTAGTTCAATGTGAGATGAACTTCTTAGTAACAGGTGTTCTGAGTGAATATGTGTTTCTCAATTATGTATAGTTTGTTTTGTGTATTTCATCAGTTTGTTTTCCATACCCATTGCTGCCTTATGCATGAACAGTGTTTTGTGTAACGCTGAGATGAAATCTAGAAACTGATCATAAGGTGTTGTTTCCTAGGTAGTAATAGGATCTCACTACGGAGAAGCAGTATAACAATCACTCATGCTCAATGTTCTTTGTTTGTTGTACAGAACGGTATATCTCTTAAACATGCAGTACTAGAAGACAACTTATTTTCATTACGTGTCACTTACCTTGTGTTTTACTATTGATAAAATCTTTAATCGTCCTCCTCGATTGGAAGTCTCAAGCGAACCTACGACTTCCTTTTTAAAGTTCACATAAATACCAATTATTTTATTGTTTCGGGCCTATATTACGGTTACAATACGATGAACATTATCACA